ATACAATGGACAATGCAGTGAATATAATAAATTAATAAATTTGAAGGTAATGAATCTTTGAATGGTAGAAAATAAACATAATATAACTAATGAAATTATATCGATTTTTAAATTTTTATAATGAATAATTTTTTTTTTTAAATAAAGGCATTATAGACATCTAATTATAAATTAATTAAATGCATATGTATTATTTTTTGTTGTAGCTACTACTTTATTTAGTTTAAGAGCAATAAAGTGGGCAAATTATGCTATGGAACCGTGTCCACCTTGCAAGGTGGACATGCATATCGGAGATGTTCATGCATATGTAAATAAATATTGAATTTTTTTTATTTAAATTGGTAATTCAAAATATATAAATGCAAGATAATATTTATTGAATTTTCTAATCGATATTTGGTAGTGGTAGTTTTCCCCTACATGTTTCATGCATCGTGAGATGTGTGTCGTAGGTTACCATGTGAGAGTATTGAACAAAATATTAATATTTATTATATTTGTATAAAATACTTGGTAAATAAATATATATAATGTATTTTGTATTATAACTTTGATATTTAATTACAAGATAATGTAAAAAGAAGACAATGGGCAATGCAGTGAATATAATAAATTGATAAATTTGAAGGTAATGAATCTTTGAATTGTAGAAAATAAAGATAATATAACTAATGAAATTATATCTATTTTTAAATTTTTTATAATGCATAATTTTTTTAAAAAAAATAAAGGCATTATAGACATCTAATTCTAAATTAATTAAATGCATATGTATTTTTTTTGTTGCAGCTACTACTTTATTTAGCTTAATAAGAGTAATAAAGTGGCGTATATACTTTTCATCAACAATAATGCAATCATTGATTTTTTAAAAAAAAAATACATACAAAAAATATTAATGCAAAAGTATAATTGAAATATTAAGTTTTTTTCTAATTTAAATAATTAAAAGAATATTAAGTTTTTTTCTGATCAAATGATTTTTAAAGTTCTTGATTTATAATCTTTGATGCTTAACTTTGAATGTTATGTATTTAGTCAGACTAATTATTCGAACAAAGTTTATGTTAAATTTTATATTATATATATTTTAAATATATTTTAACATATTCGTAGTATATGTTTAACAATTATGCCAACTCTAATTGGGATGTGGTTCGAAACTAAGACTTTTCAAAAAATATTAATGCAAAAGTATAATTGAAATATTAAGTTTTTTTCTGATTTAAATAATTAAAAGAATATTAAGTTTTTTCTGATCAAATGATTTTTAAAGTTCTTGATTTATAATCTTGGTTGCTTAACTTTGAATGTTATGTATTTAGTCAGACTAATTATTTGAGAACAAAGTTTATGTTAAATTTTATATTATATATATTTTAAATATATTTTAACATATTCGTAGTATATGTTTAACAATTATGCCAACTCTAATTGGGATGTGGTTCGAAACTAAGACTTTTCTTATAGAAATTAATGTGTAAGTTAAAATAATAAATACTTAACGGAATATTCCGTTACTAAAGTTTATGCTAACGGAATTTAGGTTATTTAAGGGAAGAAAATAATATAATAGAGAGTAAATAAGAAAAATCAATAAAAATACTAAAAGAAAAATAATATGAACCATTCATTTTAAGAAACAATAGTATAATATGAATCATTCATTTTAAGAAACAATAGGACCGACATTTTTTTGTTCCAGTTAAGGGCCTAACATTATTGACTCTTATTAGAATTGTAGATATGGTAGGGAATACCCCGACCGACATGCCTTTGCCTTTTGTTCTTATTTATGCAGGTTACAGGTCGTACTTTTTTAGAAGAACCCGGTCGTACCCGATCGGTAGAACACCCGACCAGCGTCTTCAGTACCCGATTGATAGCCCTCAGGCGAGAGACTCGAGAGGAAGCACGTGGCAGCGCTAGGCGTTGACAGGCAGGGCTTACGGGGAGAAGACACGTCATTGCTACGTGGGAGACATGCCGAACGGCCGAACTTGTGTCTTCGGCCCAGCGGCTATAAATAACCGCGGCTGCAACAGTGTGGGGGACTTTTGGACGATCGAAAGGCTATTGTTAGAGCATCCCGATCGCAGTCAGTCGGCCCTCAAAATAGCCAGTGTAGATTGTACTTAGGACCTTCACCTTGATCAATAAAAGACATTTATTTGCTTTAATTGGTCTTATATTATTTTATTCACCTCTTACGTGAGAATTAACACTATATATATATATATATATATATATATATATATATATATATATATATATATATATATATATATATATATATATAAAGATTCAGGTGCGGTGGACAGTCTCTAATGCGGTTAAAACATAGCCATTGGTTATGCTTAAATCAACGTCCAAGATTACTAAAATTAAAAAAAAATGCAGTGGCAATTTTGTAATTTTTGCATCTAGGTCAAAATTAAGGTGCGTGGTTTTGTGATTAAGGTGTGTGAGTCTTGTGCGTAAGGTGGGTGAGTTTTGTGCTTAAGGTGCGTGAGTTGTGTACTTAATGGTAGTAGTTGTTGAAACTTAAGGTGCATGAGTTTTGTGTTTAAGGTGCGTGAATTTGTGCTTAATGTGAGTAGTTGCTGAAACTTAGGTGCGTGAGTTTCCTTCTAAATGTGCGTTGTTTTCATCCTTAAGGTGTGTGATATGTATGCTTAAGGTGCGTCAGTTGTGTGAAACTTAAAGTGAACCATTTTTAAAACCTTAAGGGGTCGTTTGGTTCACGAAATGTCAGATTACCTTAGGGAATGTTAGATTGCTGGGAATGTTAGATTACTAGGAATGTTACATTCCTGTGTTTGGTTAAAATTGAGGTATGTAATATAATCATGTTTGGTTTATGGTTATCTTTTATTCACACACTATAATATCCTTAACATATTTTCATATATTTTAAAAAATTTAAAAATTAAAATAAATAAATAAGATAACGGTATCATATATAATTACATGATTTTAAAATATTTACTAAAATATTGAACTTGAGAAACAAAATTATTTTATATGTTAACCTAACATAATAAAAATAAAAAATATATAATTACAAAAATAATTATATATATATATATATATATATATATATATATATATATATATATATATATATATATATATATATGTGTGTGTGTGTGTGTGTGTGTGTGTGTCTATGTGTGTGATAAACTAACATAACCAAGGTTATCTTACATAACCTTAGAAATTGAAGGTAATCACATTCCCATATGTGTATATATATATATATATATATATATATATATATATATATATATATATATTGTTGGGAAAATACGGTCAAACTAGAAGCCACCTTTCTAGTCCTATTTTCTTGGGTCCGCATGTTTCTTGTCCACACATTTTGTATGGACATGGGAATGAAACTTCCACTTCTAGCGTGAGTGTGTATGGTCATGATTAGAGCTTCATGGCTATAAATAGTGCATCCTTCACTACTGAACAGTGCACTCAAAAGGAAGTTTCCTTCTTTGCTTTCTTCACTTCATTCATACCCTCTAGTCTGAGCATATATAGTCAGGTTCGCCGTTCGCCTACGTGGTTGCTAGTGCAAGCTATCCGTAGTAGGTCTGTGCAACTTGTCGAAAGCGTGCCAGTGTTCTAACTGCACCGTTACCGGGCAAATAACGCTTTTAAGGTAGTGTTATTATAACACGGCACAGATTTCCTTTCAGCCATACACCCGTTGTGTCCGTGCTTCTTAAATGGTTTCCAGCCCCCGCGTTGACATTGCGAATATTTTCCAACAGTTAAAATCGTTACTTTAGCAATAGTCAACTACTCGAATCATGGAGCAGATTATAATAATTTTTTGGCGACATGATGGTGTAGCAACAATAAAGATTAGCAGTGGAAGGCAGTATATTCATACAGAACAATACTGGTGAAGCACACTACTTCAGCTTATGTGTAACCTTTAAGCAAGGGAATACAACATAAATAATTATTGTGTTCATATCGGAGCTTTGACCATACTCCGATGAGGTTTGTCTCCTCATATTTTAATATGACACATGCATATTTATATGATAATAGACTATCATATGGAAATGATTATTTTGAGCAAAAGTAGTCATATATCATTGGGCATTGACCATATTTCCTTAAAACTATAATAATGTCATAAATTAGAAGATGGTTTGCCTATATCTTTGCATCCAATTGATTATTATGTTTTGAGAGCATTTGAAACGTGAAATCTATTTTGTGACAAGTATTTTAGAAATCACCATTTCATATTCTATATGGTAAGTGCTTTGAATATTATAGAGAAAATTAACAGCAAGATGAGTATTGAGTTTCTTTAAATAAGTAGTTATTTTGAGTAACTATAATTTGCTCTAGCTTTAAGGGCTCGCATGAGGTATGATTTTCTTAGTACTAAATACTAGTTGAGTGGCCTAGAGTTTGATTACTTAGTAGTACTTATTTCTGTAATTTTGCATTTCCTCAGTTTAAGATTATTATTAGAGATAATCGACTGATGTATTGGACTGACTAATTCGGAGACGTGAATTGTCAGTCAGTTAGATAGAATGCAAATTAGTTTGTAGAGGAAAATCTAGAGCAGATAATAAATCAACACATACGATGTTTAGCCAGTTCGATACAGTGTGTATCTACATCTCAGGGACGATCACCGAGGTGTCCAATCCACTAACTCATAATCCAATGTACAAAGGTAGAGAAACAACAATCTCACCCAAGTGCCCCACACAAGGTACGTACCCAGTCTACAAAGATTTAGTGGATTGTTGAAGTCGGAGAGTCACGCATGCAGAAGTCCAATGAAATCCCTTCAATTGGAGAGCTAACTCTGATGCAGTCCGCTTCAATGACGCAGTCCTACGCTGTTCCCACAACTGAGTGATCTTCGCGTCCTTTCGTTTAAGCAATGATAGTTCTTCTCAAGTTATTCATCATAATCACCAAGAACTTATTGTCTTGAGAAGAGGCATGATAATCAAAGATATGTGTCTCTATGTAGCATGGAGTGTTTTCGTCTTCTTAAAATCGTAACCCTAATTCTTGACCGAATAAGGATACTTATACTTCCTTGGTAAGAACACTCTCCAAAAATATCTTTGATTGTAGATGGTAGGACAATTTGTGAAGAATGCAATCTTAAAGATTCGGTTCAAACCTTCCAAAAAAGATCCGCTGATATTCTTTCCAAAACTGTCTTCTCAAACTGCGTTCAGCATTTTGGAAACATCTTCCTTTATCAGATCTTCAGTGTCAGTGTGTATGTTGATGAACCTGATCAATCAGTCTTCTGTAAGAGTAAACAGACACCAAGCTAAACCCTATCTTAGTTTGCCATAATAATATTGCCAATTATATGTTGGGATTTTTGGAGAAAATAAAAACACTAACAATTTCATTAGTATGTTGAATACTAATGACATTGATTGAAAAAAAAAATTGTGCTTAGATATTATATTGCTCAAGTTCTTTACTAAAAATATTTGTATGAAAAATAAGAGCATATATCAAAGGCTTCAATTGCAATTTAATGAGAACATGGAAAAGTCATCATTCTTGAACATTCTGTCTAGGAAGATGGTTTTTAAGTAAACTTCGGTTTCACCACTCGACCTGGGAGTACTTAAGAAGTAAGGTGTTGATCATGCAGGCTAGTTAGAGCGCCACTTGATCTTCACCTGAAATGATGTTGGCTTTCATATGTTGTTAAACAATCAAAGTCTTGCAATAGAAATTGTTGAAGTACTGCAATAGTAATATTAATCTGCATCATATGAATGCTTTATATGAGTCTCAATCTCCTCAAGTGAAGGAAGAGTTGTGCAGGTGACAACTTTGAGTGTTAAAATTATACTTGTTGAATTCACCTTGTTGAGAGATATTTCCTAATAAATGTTAGTTTGAACATATCCTTTGCGTATGAGATTAATTTCTTGTAAAAATATGATGTGAAATTTGTGATTATGTTGTTCAACTTGAAGCAGCATGTGGACAACATTATCTCTATGGCTTACTAACAATGAGCATTTGTATATATATTATTTAAATTCTTGGTTGAGTCATCTTGAAAGACCTATAATTCTTGTTTAAAGGGTAATTATGATGGGTTGAGATAACCAAGTTTGTTGAAATATATTCAACTGTTGAGTATGTATCAGGCAAAGTGTGAAGCTACTATAATCCTCCACAAAGCAAATTGGCAAAACTTAGTCTACAAAGGAGCTAATGTTGGGCACCAAAGATCAATCTGGGTAAGAGATCAAATACATTTGACAAAAATGTTTGGGGTGTTGCATTGTGGGGGTGATTAACTCCTTATGTTTTCACCAATAGTTTTCTATGTGGTATTGAGAATAATGATGAAAGAGAATGTTTCATGTTAAGTATGAAAATCTCAAGGAATTATTTACGAGTAACGAAGTACTCGTCAAAGTGCTTGTATGTTTGATTAAGAGAATCAACTTACTTGAAGGCTAATTATGAGGATTAGTGGTTGAATCATTGGAAGGACTTAAAGTCCAACTGGCAATGAATTCGTGGTGGGTTCCACTTTTGTGGTTAAACGAAGCGATGGAAAGAATTACAAAGTAGTACACTAGTTGGTCATTCCGACAATGTGTGTACTTGTGAGGCTGAGCTACAGCTCTTAATGAATTCATAACTCTATGAGAAGGATGGTTTTTTTGAGACAAAGCTAATGAATTCACCGCATAATGACCCGAGTACAAAAGTGCTCTTAGTGACTTATACTCAATTGAGGTGGTCTATTTTGAGGTAGACCTAAAGAGATCCCTGACTTGAGTGAGAAAGGGTTAACCGCCTCTTATGAAATATAATGAGGGGGTATCTCAAGAAGCTGAGTGGCTAAAAATATGTTGATAAACGTGCAGTTGTGGGGGTGTCCAACACCTTCACTACATAGACACGGTGATTCACAAATTGTCGTTTGCATTGCAAAGAATAGTGTCTATGATAGAAAGAAAAGACTTATAACTGATTTATGTCTTTAACCACTCTATAAGCCTTTAAAGGTGGTCTATATACTGAGATAGACTTGATAGAGTTAAAAGTCTATATTGAGATGGACTTGAAAAGTCATAAAAGTCTGTAATGCGATAAGACTTGTCAGAGTTAAGAGTCTATGGTGAGATAGACTTTGACAGGGTAGAGGTCTATATTAAGATAGACATAACAGACTTGAATACTAAGGATATTCATAAGAAGTCAAAAAGTTTGACTTTCGTAGAACCTGCTACTTAGAGTTGGTGTGTGCATTAGAGTTTAAAATTTATCTAACCGGTGAGTTCAAGATTCATATCACTCTCGAGAAGAAAATTACTCAATGTCACTACTTGTCAGTTCAAGTTCTCAAACACTGGCATTAAGATCAAGTCGAGTGTATTGCTCAGATATTATCCTTTCTAGCCTTCTACTTTGAACGTGTGAGGGATTGTTGGGAAAATACGGTCAAACTAGAAGCCACCTTTCTAGTCCTATTTTCTTAGGTCCGCATGTTTCTTGTCCACACATTGTGTATGGGCATGGGAATGAAACTTCCACTTTTAGTGTGAGTGTGTATGGTCATGATTAGAGCTTCATGGCTATAAATAGTGCATCCTTCACTACTGAACAGTGCACTCAAAAGGAAGTTTCCTTCTTTGCTTTCTTCACTTCATACATACCCTCTAGTATGAGCATATATAGTCAGGTTCGCCTACGTGGTCGCTAGTGCAAGCTATCTGTATTAGGTCTCTGTAGCCTGTCCAAAGTATGTCAGGGCTCTAACTGCACCGTTACCGGGCAAATAACTCTTTTAAGGTAGTGTTATTATAACACGACACAGATTTCCTTTCAGCGATACACCCGTTGTGTCTGTGCTTCTTAAAAGGTTTCCAGCCCGCACGTTGACGTTGCGAATATTTTCCAACACACACACACACACACACACACACACACACACACACACACACATATATATATATATATATATATATATATATATATATATATATATATATATATAATGTCCAATATTTATTTTTAAATAAATATTTCAAATATATCTATATAAGATAAGTTCATGGTATAACAAGTGTATGGGCCATGATCCATCTTGTAAGGTAGACCACTGATATAAGAATTATTTATATTACAAATTATTTTTTTAATTCCTTTCAAAAAAGATTATTTTTAATTATTGAAGGTTATTTTTTGTATATTATAATTTGCAAAAAAGTATTGGATTAAGGATTAAAAAATACAGATTATCTACTAAATAATATAAGAGCCTATGTTGCTTAGCTTGTACTAATAAACTGATTAAGTTTAAGGGATCTCCAAATATCCATTTGTCCTTGCTAGTTATAATTTTGAAGCCTGTTGCCTTCATCTTTTAAATAGAAACACAAGTACAGGAGCCAATGGTCTGTTTAAAATTTGCAGCTTGCAATAGTTCCAATTCTCAAATGGTAGTTTGGAAGTGAATGCTTCAATCGTCTCAAATTTCTCCCTGAAAAACAATGTGAAACACCTTGCCTTAAAACTTCCCATAAAGAACCAAACTAAACGACTGAAAATAAAGTTTGAAGTTATCACATTCAAACAATCCAAAACAAGTTTCTGGTTATACTAAATGGCGGAAACTTCTTCACCAAATAGATTTTGCCAGAAAGCATGAAGGTGAGACAAAGAATATTAGGTGATGATAAAGGACATTGAGCGGAAAAAAGTAGCTTTAATTTTAACCAATTTATCTCAGTTTATAAAGGTTTAGAACTTCTATCTATTCCTTTTCTTTTTTTTTTTTTCCTTTATTTTCCTTGACATGATGAATACAAAATTACTAACAATATCTCAATTACATTATAAATGATTGCTACAACAATAGGTAATGTATGAACAACAATACTATCAAATCAAATATAAGGCGATTACTACACTTCCTCAGACTTGTCAAAATAAAAATGCAAATCAAGAAACACTAGAAAAGTTATTACCTTCCACTGCTGGAAAACAGCGATTTTCCGACCACCGGAAAGTGGTCGGAAATCACTATAATCACGACGGAAACCACTGTTCCGACCAATTTTCCGACCACTTTAGGGATCCGGAATAACGCTAGTCGGAAATTCCAACCACTCTATCAAGTGGACGGAAGTTCCGACCACAATAAAAGGTGGTCGAACATTTTTGGTCAATTGCGAAAGGGGGCTGGCCATCTATTTCTGTGCATTTTACGGTCGAAAATTTCCGACCAACCACCAAATTGTTGGAAATCACAATCCGTTGACTATAAGGAATTGCAAGTTTCTGACCACCATTTGGTCGGAAATATCTATCTCTTACATTTATGGAATTGTGATTTCCGACCACTGGTGGTCGGAAACCAAGTGTCAAAAATTATTTATAAAAAGAATTTCACTGTTTTTAATTTACCCTGCAATAATAATTTTTTTTTAAATAAAAATACTTTTATAACAATGTAAATCCCCAAAAACTAGCAATTTTATAATAATGTCACTTCACATTTCCAAAAAAGTAGCTACTTCACATTTCAAAAAGTAGTAGCTACTTTACAATTCTAAATATTTTCACCATTTACAAACACAAGTACTTAGTCAAAAAAAAAAAGTAGCTACTTCACATTTCAAAAAGTAGTAGCTACTTTACAATTCTAAATATTTTCACCATTTACAGCACGAGTACTTAGTCAAAAGATTACGCTGGAGATTGGGTAGCATCATTCACATTGATATTATCTAAACCAATACCACTACTTTGATTGCTATGAGCTGTAGGAACAACAGATTGTAATAATTCTGGATGTGCACCACTTAACAACTCCATAATTTTCTTGTTTTGCTCCAAAATCTCCTCGTTGCTTTGCTCCAATTGTTTAATTCTCTCCTCACAAGCTGCATGTGAGGATGATTCTCCATATGTAGATTTTTTTCGCCTTGCCACCTCGGGGAAGTAATGTTGGGTACTTGATCCAAACCCAAAAATAGAACCTCCCTTCTTCAAGCCACCTGTTGCCTCATACCAAATAGTTGCTGGTTCAAGTTCTGGTTGAGTTTGTTGTTTTTCATTTACAATCTCCTATATTAATAAACAATTAAAATCAGAAATAGAATTAAGTACAAATTTCAATTTTATTAGAAAATTTCAGTATGGGCAATTAATTCCAGTAAACTGGAAGGAATTAATTCCAGTAAGGAAACTGGAATTAATTACTTCCAGTTCACTGGAATGAATTAATTCCAGTAAAGAAACTGGAATTAATTACTTCCAGTTCTAGTGGAATTAATTCCAGTGAACCGGAAGTAATTAATTCCGGTAAACTGGAATTAGTTCCAGTAATGGACTAGAAGAAAAAATTCATTTTCTAGAATTAGTTCAATATTTCGATCAATCATAAATAGAAGAAAAAATTTAAGATAGCCAAACAATATAATCAAATCATTTTCTAGTTATATAGAGGACAACATACAAGTTATCAATCTTAATATACAATACTCATAATAAGCTAAGGTTACTCAATACCTATTGTGCAAAGATTAAAACCTAACAGTGAACCACACTTCAATGCTTAACTAGTAGCTTATAATGGTCAATGGTAATCAAAGTTAGATTATAGGAATTGAGATTCTCACCACGACTTGTTGGGCTTTTTTGCACACAAACTCATCGGTGTTTTTTCGTTTGTGTGTAGCTTGGAACAGGATTGCATGGGATGGGTCCTCTCCAAGCTTTTCTTTCTATCCAACATCAATAAACCAAACATTAATGTTGCTGTTAAACTTTAAATTGTATTTAGATATTAATTATTAAATGACTTACTAATCTTCGCCTGTGCTCGGTCGTTGGGATTGAACCTCCAGTATGCAACGAGCGTCCCATTCCACCGCAATCTGAATTTCTATTTTTCTTGTTCTTCTCGGATAGCGCTTTGAATGCGTCCGTCTCCCAAAGTCTTTGATATTGAGCCAGAACCGAAGGATCCATCCATAGCGATGGTGATTTACCTTTTTTCAAGTTGATGCACACTTAATTAAAAACTTCAATTCCAATATAAACTTTGCTAGATTACTAGAATTAATTCCAATACAAACTGAAATTAATTAAAAATTCCAGTTTTACTTAAACTGGAGATTCAAGTAAACTGGAATAAATTGTTAGTTTACTGGATTCCAGTTGGTTAGTTTACTGGAATTAATTCCAATAAATTCCAGCAAACTGTTTCGGTGATGATTTACCTTCTTTCAATCTTAAGCGCACTTGTCCCAACGTGTCGCTAAGTCTTTTGGGAGCATTTCTATCATATATTTTCCTGATAACTGATTCATCTTCTGGATTCCATTTACAGAATTTCTTTGATAAAAAAAATAAACAAATTGAAATTAGTAAACATAAGTAAGAACTCTTGTCCCAATTCTAGTTATAATGTAATTTACCTTGTATTCATTAAACCAAATATCCTTTATACTTTGAGGTGTACTTTTCTAGGATCTGCTGCGAAATCAGGAAACCATCTATCAAAGTGCTTCCATGCTTCACCATCTGAAGGATGACACATAATACCAGGTTCGCGGCGATTTTCATAATGCCACCGCATGTGTGAAGCAGAGCTATGTGATGCATACAATCGTTGCAATCTAGGGATGAGAGGAAGGTAATGCATTCTTTTGCGTGGCACATCTTTTGCACGAGTATATCTAGGTGGGCGTGGTTTAAATCTTGGCTCACCACAAAACTTACAGTGCTTGTCATTTATTTCAGACTTATAGTACAACATACAACTGTTTACACAACAATCAATCTTCTCATGTCCAAGATCAAGCTTTGTAAGTAATTTTTTTGCATCATAATACCTGTTAGGTACTCGATTATCGGGACCCATCAAATGATTAATATACTCAAATATCTGATCCATTGCTAGCTGCGGTATATTAAAAGTTGTGTTGATATTCATCATCCTTAATGTATATGCCAGCTCTGTTTCTTCACTAACATTCATTGATAAAGGTTGTCTCGCAGCATTTAACAAATCATAGAAGTTTTGTGCACTACTATGTGGCTCTTCATCTTGGTAATTCTCGGCATTTAGTGGGAAAAATGATGGACCAGATGCATCAAAAATCATTTGTTCATACCGATTATTTTCACTAGGGCCCTCATTCATATTTGGTTGTATTTAGGGGGGAAGCTCACCGTGACACGTCCAAACCCAATAATTCGGTTCAAAACCCTTCTTATACAAATGAACACGAACATCATCTGCAGACAAGTGTACTCTATTCCTACACTTACTACATGGACACCTAATCTGCGTTGAAACCTCGTAACCATGAAGTCTGCTTGCATAATTTATAAATTCCTCAACACCGACTAAAAACTCATTAGTGTACCCCCTCCTTCCTCGTAATAATCGGTTATACATCCATTTTCGATGTTCAGGTATATTAGCCATGTAAAACAACTGCAAAAATATATACAATACAAATGCAACGTATATAAATAATTTAAATTATTATATTATGAACATACAAATAATAAATACACAACATATAAATTAAAATTCAATATTAAAAAAATCATAAATATACAAATAATTCTAAACACAAACATAACTAAATAAACAAATTTTACACACACATATGTATAAATAAGCACACTGCATAAATAAATAAATTTAAAATGTATTCACAAAAATATATATATTATACTAATAATAAATACACAATATATATATATATATATATATATATATATATATATTAAAATTCAATATTAAAAAATCATAAATATACAAATAATTTTAAACACAAACATAACTAAATAAACAAATTTTACACACACACGTGTATATATAAGCACACTACATAAATAAATAAATTTAAAATGTATTCACAAAAATATATACAAAAAATTAAAGCTAGATCTACAAAACAAATCGACATAAATAGAAATTTTAAAAATATATACACATACCTTAGCTTGATTTCAACACTATAGTGAAAAAATCTCCTGCAAAAAAAAAAAAATACAAAAAGGTTCAAACTAATTACTAGATCTATAAAAAAAATGATATAAATGGAAGTTTTAAGTATATATATACATACCATACTTGATTTCTACATTATTGTGAGTGCTTTAGCAAAAAACATTCACCAAGCATGAAGAAATCTGTGAAAAGAGGTAAGAAAAGAAAAAGAAGAGAAATATGGAAACTGGGCAGAAAGTTTGCTGCGCAGGGGTAAGTATAAAGAAATTTCCGACCACCGACAAGTGGTCGGAAAAAGTCAATTTTTAAAATAATAGCCAACGAAAGTTCCGACCACTATTGGTAAGTGGTCAGAAGTTTCCATCCACTTACCAATAGTGGACCGAAACTTCCGACCACGAACGTGGTCGTAATCCATCCGGACAGGGATGGAAGAATGTGTAATAACTTACCGACCACTTTTGGTGTGGTCGGAAATTTCCGTCCACTATTGGTAAGTGGTATGAAGTTTCCGACCACTATCCGACCATTCTAGCACTTGACGAAAAACGGCAAAAAATTCAACTTTTACGACCATTTTTTGAGGTGGTCGGAAAATTGCTGTTTTCCAGCAGTGTTCCTCCTGAATGGCCAACATAAGCAACTATATTGATGAGCCCCTCAGGCATTAGAATTTTTTGGGCAGCCTCTATTGCAAGTAGTGTTGTATCTTACCTTTGTGGTGATCTTTTTGTCTCCTCCTGATAGGTAGCCCAAGTAGAATGCGACTAACTTGAAAAATAAATAAATAAAAGCAAAAATTTTGAGAGATTAGAAGACACCTTGTATAGACCATGTCTCCTAATTTTGCCAGAAGGATACATTACACGTAACTACATAAGTAACACTATGTTACCAAAATATTCATAATTCAAGCTAAATTCTCAGTTTCTACGTTCTCTCTGTCTCTTATTAACCTAGGCTAACGACTGGTGCGGCAGTGGCAGCTGTTTGTTCCTCGGTGTCTTGGTCAACTGGATTTCTGTGTAGGATTTGGATACCCATTTTGCTATAATAATAATTAGTATTGTCCTGTGCGATACACAGCTAAATATTATAAATATTTTTGTAATGTTATAATGAATAAATAATTATAAAACTTATTTGCAGTTGTTTAGGATAAAGGAAATTGAAGTACAGTAAATAAATACATAATTGCAAATATAGTTCTAAACAAAATTTTGTATTCAATATTATGTAGAAATAGAATATTACATATTATTAAACACTTTCATGTAAACTACATATTATAATTACTTTTAAATTTAATTTTATTACCATTATTATTATTTTGTATTTATTTTAGAAAACACAATAAAAATATTGATACAAATATTAATATGACTACTATTATTTTTGTTAGTATTAATAATAATAATAATAATAATAATAATAATAATAATAATAATAATAATAATAATAATAATAAGCATTGTTTTTAATTTTATTATTATTATTATACGGAGTATATGGTATCATTATTGTTTTTTTTTTACTATTGCAATCGACCAAAGCTCTTCAAAGGCCCTGCTTGACTTGTGGAAAGAAGCCAGCAAAGTTTTCGCAGCTAAATTGGGCAGCTCACGACTGAGAGATTTTGTTACTATAACCAAAAAAAAAAAAAAAAAAAAAAAAAAGAGTCGACCTCAGAAGGATTACTCCTCAAATGTACCCTCTGTCACTACCGGTCTCGCTGCGGGTAAAATCGCTTGTGTTTCCTTCTCTCACCGTCTTAAATGAATTTGCTTACCTGGAATGTCAGAGGCCTGCTCTCTTCCCAGCGCAGGCTCAAGCAACTCCTCCGCCGTGAGAACATTCAACTTGTTACAATAATAGAGCCTTTTTTTACCTTCGGCTCGGTTAAGTGACTTCGTTCGTGATTTCAACTTTGATAAAGGTTTTGCCTCAATGGACTCAAAAATTTGGTTACTGTGGAAGGACTCCTTCCAAGTCGACATAGACTCTGAATGTGAGCAGTTTATTTCTTGCTCGGTTTGTTATACTCCTTGGCAGTTTTCCTTTGGCTTTGCAGCGATTTATGTGAGACACACCAGACCGGAGTGAGCGCACCTCTAGTCGCAGCTTACTACACTATAATAGATGATGGTAAATGATCTTGAGGGTTTAAAGTGTCTTTCTTACTTGAGCAGTTATAACTGCCAAGTTCCTCATGTATATATATACGTCTGCATACGTCTGTTAAGAGGGTTACCAGAAATAATAACCATTCTTCACCTTTCATTCGTTCCTTCTTTCCCTCTCTTATTTCATGCGATAGATAAGCCGATATGGTATCAAAGCCTCGGCGGAATTACGCCGCCGTACTCACCGACGTTGACGACACCAGTCGTGTGGCTACGCCGGTTAACCAATCTCCAACACCTGAGTTGAATCCGCAGGGGATTACGACACCTCAGGCTCATAGAAACTTCAATTCTGCAGATCTGGAAGATCCTCTGTACCTGAGTGCTAATGATAGTCCTTCGATCGCCCTTGTAACTCCACCGCTTGCAGGCAGCTCAAATTATGGCACATGGAGTGTCTCTATGCGGAGTGCTTTGGAAGTAAAAAATAAGTGGACGCTAGTGGATGGGAGCACAGCGCCACCAAGCAGAGATCAACAACACTATCCGGCATGGAGGAGGTGCAATCTGATGGTTTGCTCGTGGATCTTCAAATCCTTACATCCTTCGATAGTTCAAAGTGTGTTGCACTTCGATCACGCCAGAGATATATGGGAGGATCTGCGTAAACGCTATTCACAGAGGGATGCACAGCGGATCTCAAGTCTGCAGAAGGAGATTCACAATCTGAAACAAGGAAATCTGACCATTAATGACTATTACACTAAAAGCAGGACCTTGTGGGAGCAGATGAACAATCTAAGGCCAATTCCTCTGTGCAAATGCACTCCTAGATGCTCTTGTGACCTCGTTGAAGTGATCAGAAGTGAAAGGGAAATTGATCAGGTAATCCTATTTCTTCAAGGCTTGAATGATGATTATGATAGTCTAAAATCAAGTGTGTTAATCCTAGATCCCTTGCCGGAGGTATATAAAGTATTTGTTATGGCTGAAAAACTTGAAAGGCATATCAGTTTGAGAAATCTGAATCAAGGAAACCTAGATTTTAATCACTCTAATGCTGTTCATAGTTCTTCGAATGAAGAAACAGTGGTTGCATCCTCATATAATGGTAGAAGAAACAGTAGTGTTGCTAAGGCTAAATGTACATACTGTGGCATGACTGGTCACACAGTAGATAGATGTTATAAGAAACATGGATTTCCCCCAGGATGGATTCAAGGTTATAAGACGAAGAACAAACAACAAACTGCAGCTACTGTTCTCAATGAAACAGACTTGGGGATTACTCATGAACAGATGCAAAAGTTCATCTCAATGATGCAGAATCATTCTGCTCAGTCTGTTCAGCCTTCTGGTTCTAATTCAAAACTCACTGCTGCAACAACTCTGACTCCTCATTTCAAAGAACAGGCTTCTGATGAAGGCAAGCTCTCTGTTAATTCTCTATACTTAACTGCTTCTACTTGGATTCTTGACTCGGGGGCCACTAATCACATAGTGTGTTCTCTTGATTGCTTTATCAATTATCATGTGGTTAATGGTGTTGAAGTGAACCTTCCCACTGGCCAATGCGTAGCAGTTCAGCATATAGGAGATGCAAGGATTAATGACAATCTATATCTAAAGGAAGCCTTACATATCGCCACTTTTAAATTCAATATCATCTCTGTCAGCAAGCTCATACAAGATGCCACTTATAGACTAATCTTTATGGCCAAACAGTGTGTGATTCAGGGAACTCTTGGGCAGACAACTGGTATAGCTAAGGAGAAGGGAGGCCTCTACATAATGGAGGAATCAAAAATGCAGAATGAGCAGCTTGTTGCACAG